GAGACCTCACATTTCAAAATTTGTCTGACACTCTGACAGTATCTCCATAGGGATAATGATACTTTCTTTTACAAAGCACTGTGCTATCTGCAAAGCTGTATAAGAACTAAGTATTATTATTGGAGATGGGAAAGGCCTATTATATCATCTGTCCATCTCAGATATAACAGAAAATGACAGTGATTTGTTGCTGAGATTTGACATTTGTAAAAATGTCCTTTCTTCTTAACTATCTGCAAGTTTCAGCACTGAGGATTCAATAAGCTAGATGTCAGGCTCCAACTTCTATGAAGCATACCAAGGTATTAAATATACCCATTTCAGGCCCACTTTTCCATCTCCTACTTTCAGTTTTTATTTTTTGAAGAGGAAAGAGAGAACAATCCTCATGAACAGCACACGCCAAGCTTCAAAGAACTGTTCTTCCACTCCCCAGCTGCTGATGCTGGAGCACCTCTCCTGGTTGGGATCATGCACCATGTAGGAGGGAAGCTGTTGTGCATCTTGCCAGTGTTTTTCAGCAGACTTCCAACTCAAAAGCTATGTACGAAATACACCCATCACCACCCACTGTGATACGAGCATGCATTCATGATCTAACCTATCCATGGTGGATGTCTGACTGTATAGGACATAGAGGTCTTATGTGCCATCTTATGTAACGGCAGTCGTAAGAGGTCTGCAGAACTCTTGGCGGTGGACGCTGGCCGGTTGAAGATCCTTCTCCTCACGGAATAAGGCTCTGCTTCTCTACTGCTTTCAAGGGAAAGAATTGTTCCTGCTTTTTCTCACATTCCATAAAATTTCTCGGAACTTTTGCTACAACAGGTTTTCAGTTTAAGTGCCAATATAACAAAATGTCTGGAGGGAAATCAGTTGAAGTATTCAGAAGATGGCTCTCAGTATGATTCACACTGCTGTGAGCAAAGAAGAGGTCTGTCTGGCCTTCTGTACTGGAGTGATAACAGATATTGGATGCAGTGTGTACTCAGATAAAGTTAATGGCAGTGACATCTGGTAGATGACACAGAGGAGCAAACTCCTATCGTCTGTTTTTTAACACTCTGTGCCCAAACCATTATATGTCAGACTTGGTAAAAGTGAATAATCTTTCAGTATCTACCACTCTTCCCTCCCATGCTCTCGGTCATATGAGACTGAAGGACTACTAGATTAATCACCTCCATACATTCAGAAGGACAGCAGAGATAAAAGCAGCCAGGGAAAAAGGATTCAAGGTGTGCAGCTCATTAGTAGGGGCCTCCCCACTATTTAGCAGTCATTGTACAGACTCACACACTCCCAAAGCCCTCTCACAGTCATAACAAGTGCTTACATAAAGCCCTGTACCTTCAAAGCGCTTCACCAACATAAATATATTAATAAGACCTTTTCCAGAAGAGAATGCAGTGTCAGAGAGATGCCATTCAAATGGCTGGGCTGTGAGAGGTAGAGTTTCAAATATTTCATTAAACCCTCAGCCTTTGCCATCAATTTCAGGCCCATTTAGAAAAAAGGATGGAAAGTAAAGTGGAGCTTTATGAGCAAATAAGAAAAGTAACTGCTCGTAAAATGATTTTGCCTTCTATGATTGCAGTGTTAATTAAACTGTATATTCTGTGATGTGCATCAACTGAATTCACCATAAAGTGAAATGAAAATAAGATTTTTATACTCAGTTTGACTCATGACACCTAGATGGTTCTTTTAAAGTGACTGGTGACAATTGCCACTGATGTGCTTTGGTATACATCTTGTTTAGAGGACACAGTTAAAACATTAAGAACAGTTTGGCATCTGATACCTAATTGCAAATGTATTTAGAATTGTCGTTAGCGTTAGGTTGTTAAGAACTGACAAACACCTAAGTGCCATAAGGGCGAAAAAGGAAATAAAATATGTCATTTGTCAAATATCACAGACCATGTACAAATGTGCTTTTAAAGGACAAAATCATTATGCAATTATAACATGTAGAATAGTCTACAAAAGACATTTTGGTATTAATAGAATTACATTTGTCATACATTTTTGGATGAAATCCAGTTGCTTAGGTTTTAATTTGGTTTTTATCATGTTTTCTTAAAATTAGTAAGCCAGACCGCTATACCATGTTCATGACTGCTACCAGGAGACAAGCGTGTGTCTGTCACTACACATCTGGCACAGGCAAATCATGTTAGCATTTGTATGCGCAGTACTGTATTTGCTAATTCTGAAGCCAGAGTATGCCTTGGTCGCAGCTGTATCTGCTGTGAATTCTGCAACATCTGCTGCATCAGCTGATAACGGGTTTATGGCAACAGCACCTCTCTTTGTCCCCTACTTATTACCTCCTAATATCTACTAGAATTTGTATGGCATCTTTGCTGCTGAGCAGAGGTTGGAGTAGCAAAGCTGGTGAGGTACGTGGCAGTAGTCAAATATGGAAATATGAATGACATTTCCTGGGAAACACATCTCCCAAACCACTGACAAATGTAACTCTGTTGGTTCGTGGGAGAGATTTCTTTTCCAAATTGGGCTAAGCAATTCTTTCAATCAGGGCCACCACATATATGACAGAAGAAGAGGTTCCATAACAGAGCAAAAATTAGTAAGGACCTTTGGGATTAAATACACTTGGCTGACCTACATCTTGAGCAACTGGTTTCTGTGGGGTCACTTTTTATTTTACACTAAGCTCAGGAACTGTTGTAAGAAAGCTACAACTAATATATAGAAAACTAAGATTAATAAAGTCTCCAACTAACCTAAGTTATGATATTTTTCCATATTTATTAGACACGTGAGTATAGCATGCAGAAATGGAATAGAAGACCTCCTGTATTATGAAAAAAAAAAATTATGGAGTTGATGCAAGCACAGGTTTTCAGGATGTTTTCATAGGATGATATTGCCTAGCTTCTTCTAAGTAAAAAAGCCGTGCATCAGTAGTAGCTTCAAAAAGGCCCTATCAAAAATCTTTACAAAAATGACAATTATTTTTTCTGTATATATAATCCCTGAAATTTGAAGAAAGGTGAAGGCAGAGTCTTAAATAAGAACTAAGGAAAGTTAGTTTCTTTTAGTTAACACAACTCTCATGCAAAAGTATTTACATAGACAAATGACAAACACATATAAAAATATACATCTGTCAGTTCACTTGGGCTCTGAAAGCACAAATAAGGTAAAACCTAGGTTTTGTCCCTACTTCAAACTATTCAAAGTTCTGGTAATAGTCTAATATCCAAATACTTTAAAAATTACTACTTTTAATCACCTTCTTTTATTATAATAAAAAGCTCTTTCTAAGTCAGAATGCATTTTTGGAAGTAGCTCTCACTCTATTTCAAATAAGTTTAACATTGTTTAGTAATAGCAAGATATAAACTTTATTAAGCAACCAAGGGACTGAGTCAGATCTTACCGTAGAAGTGAGCTGGAAAACTCAAGAGGCAGTGCTGTATGCCACAAGACAGCTGAAACCCCACACTAATCTATCTTTGTTATCTGTCACCTGTGTATGGGGATACCACTGTTTATGTTCTAAAAGCTTGAAGTTATACCAAAAAGGTGAAGGTTCAATTCCTCTTTGTGTAGTATTTGGCTTCTTTTATGTGTTTTGCAACAGAAAAGCATGAAACTCTTTGATATCACACACAATAGTGCAATAAAAGTCCAGTTTGATACTTAATAAAGTTTGGAAAGGTTAATACACTCTGATTTCACATTTCCAGATTTCCAGTATGCTGAGGCTTTAAAGGAACAGGGCCCTTGAATTGCAAACTTGCTTTTTATCTTTTTTTTTTCTCTTTAGCTCTAAGACTGAAAGAAAAATGCCCCATATAGCATGGGTACCAATGTCACAAGCAATAAGAGAGCCCTGCAAATGCTGTCACTATGAAACAATGTCACGCAGAACAGTCTCAATGTCACAGTGGCTTTTGAATCAATAAGCAGTAGAAGAAAGATATCTGAAAACACAGTCTTTAAAAACAAACACTCAAAAAGGCAAGACTGAAATTTACCCCTTTTGAAAATCTGAGAAGGCTGCATGGCTCAGCATCTGCTGTATTTTTCACAACTTGCAGTCTAAATGCGATATTCAGGTTTTTGTCACTTATATTAAAGAAAGATTTCATCTAGAGATTGTCTCTTTAATTACAGAAACTAAGGTTTGAATCCAAAGGAGCTTATTAGCGAAATTAGACAACAAGGAACTCAGACTCAGATTCCTTCTCCTACCAGAGAATTGAAGCACATTGTGCACTCTGACTGTTATGAGTGGGCACATACTATCTAGCAATCAAAAGGCAAAATAATGTAAAATTGAGTACAACATGGTCTCATAATAAGTAAAAGGCGGATGTGCCAGTATGAAGAACTTCACAGGATCCACAATTTAGTGATGAAATATTTCCAAAAAATGTCTTGTGCACATGTGGCACTATACCTACTAAATAATGAACACAGGATGTTGGCACAGACAGGAAAATAAAAAAAGTGATTAATATCTGAGTGAGATGCTGTTCCAAGGTTTTTGTCAAATGCATAATTCTAATCAATGGATATTATTGCACAGCAGCTCAATAGAACCGTAAGATATTTCAATGAAAACCTACCATTATCTTCATGCACAATAAGATGCCTTGAGATGCAAACATTGAGAATGATTAGGGCCACAAAGAAGCCTAAATGCACACCACTCTTATAATTCAAATGCAAATTCTATGTACCCAAACTGCATAAATTCAGGAAAAAGTCAAACTCATGAAAACTTTCTTAATATGTTGCGTAAAGTATCAAAAAGATTGAAAATAGGATTAGCAAAGGAGAATGTACCATTCAATAAGTATTGGAAAAGATGCTTATCAAAAATTTATCAGGCAAAGTAAGTCTGAGAAATGCTGATAACAGATGGGAGCTGTCTCGGCAAAATAACGTTGCTAGTTTGACTGTTTCTCTAGCTGAGGATAGAAGCGTCCTGGGGGAAAAAAAAGTCAGACTTTTCTTACCTCTTCCTTTTCTGCACTTTGCAAGTCCCTCCACTCCTCAGTGACGTGACCAAAGTCCACTGTGTTCATCGCAACCTTATATTCCCCAATGATATCATGTTTGGAGAAGCGATCGAAGTCATAAACTGCCATCACTAAAGTTTTTCCACCCAGCTCAGAGTATGGCACCTGCAAAGAAGAGAAAATGAAAAACTTCATATCTGAGACAATAAAGATCAGTCCACTACAATGCAAATCTATTTCTTTGGTTTATCAGCTGTCATTTCAGCTAAATTGAACTGCAGAGAAAATTATGAGGTGTATTTGTTTCAGAGTCACCAGACTCAGTATTTTTTGAGACCAGGCTCTGGCACTCGTTAGAACAGTGTGGCAGCTCACTTATCACTCCCTGGGTTTTTCTCATTCTACTTCAAATAATTTTGTGGGTGATGAAACTGAAACAGGAAGCCCAATTATTTGCACTGAAGACACATGAACTTTTCACACAATGGTGTCTTTTCCTCAATAAATCAACTGTCATCACTCAGCAATGGGTAGCTCCCAGACTGATGAAAAAAACTGCATTGGCTTACTGTATCTGACACAAAGTAATTAGACACTAAACAGTTCTCTTACAGTACCACTACCTATTACTTACCGAGGCATATTTTTCATTATTATACCTTTCACACTGTATGCACTAAGGTGCTTTCTAAGTCACAGTGTGCTGTTAGAAATTGTGGTGGCAGAAGGCCAAGTTCTGACTAATTCTCCAGCTGTTCTGATGTGTTTCGGACAGATGCTGTGGGTTAGGATGCTTATGAGTCACATTTTTAATATTCAGATGAAGATGTGCTGTTCAGGTAAGCTACACTTGAGTGCCTGTCTGGAGAGGCCTGCTTTAGAAATTGTTTGGATTTACACACTTGGTCAATTTGAATATATTCTGCAAGTATAAATGATTTCCACAGGCTTCAGTAAACATTTCTCTATTAATTGTCTATATAGAAAGAGAAAAGAAAGCGTGGCATTGTCATTGGCCTTGTTAACTGCTGTATGTTCCGGGCTGTTTAAACCCTAGGACTGTTGTCTTTTGTCACTGTTTGGCTTTCACTTGCTTTTAAAAATACTTACTAATAACATGTGGAGTTTTCCTTTTTTATAACATGTTATATAATGTTTAAAAGGAGCTTTTCAAGTTGAGAGCCAGCTCCAGCCTCTATTAGTGGATACAATAGTTTCAGCGGGTACAGGGTTGCATATTGTACATATTGTGTTATACTAGAGCAAAATCTACTTTGGTTCTGTAAATGTGTAGCTTCTAAAAATCTATAGAAGGCAAATGTATGTGGAAAGCAAAATTCTAAATAATTTCACTTTTATTTTTACTCAGTCTCAAAACCAGAAGAAAAATGTTCTAAAGTGTCTTTTTCTCCATCAGTTTGCAATACCACTTAATGGATCGTGGTCATTTGGAAAGCATGAAAAGGCTGCATTTATCATTATTTAGGGTTTTTTTATCATTAACTTGACCTTAGTAAGGCACATTTTAGCTACCTTCCCTTTTAAAGAAGATCTAATGACAGTTCTTCCTCCATTTATTACCTTTAAAGTAGCCTCAGCCTCCAGCTTTGTTCAGGACTACCAAGGATGTCTTCAGCTCCTGTGAAGGCTTGCTCCCTTGCCCTGGTTTCTGCTCTGCTCAGAGATATTCAGCCTCTTGACTTAATGCAGGTGAGACCTTGGTAGGAGGACGCATAGGAGTGCTTTTCTGGCATAGACATGTCACTGCTCTAAACATGAACCCTTTTCCCACTTTGGGCCTGAGCAGGAACACCTTCCTCTGTCAAACTGGTGAAGTCCAGCTAGAATTTCTCAGTTTCCTTTTGGCAGTGCTGTGCGGGTATACAATTCCCACCCAAAGAAAAGAAGGAATGAGGTCCAGAGCTCAAGATATTGCCAGTAGTTCCCACATAAGTTATTTATTACAGTTGCAGCACCAGTTAAATGGTCGCTTGCCTTTTTCACTGTGGTCCCCAGAACAATGACAGTACTTGGCATGCCCTGTTGGTTTTCTCTTGAGTATAGACCACAGTATTCATGGGACGATCAGTACCATACTGAGATGCACCTAAACACTCTGTCAGGTCTTGTGTGGAAAGCAAGCTTTCTTCTGGAGCATAAAATGTGTATATTAAAAATGTGACTTAAAACAAGTGGACATTACAGTCCAGAAATGGATGATCTGGTTTATAATTTGTGCCTTCATTTAAGATGACACTGTTATTGGTTCTTTCTTTTCTTTTGTGAGCTACATGGGAATCTCTAATTTATAACTCTGTTTTCTTTTAAATACTCTCTTAGGAAAGCTCAAGAAAAAAATAACTCCCTGCAAAAGATTATTTGTATGAATATCTTCAAGGGAAAAAATAAGCTTATATATGCAGTAGTAGTTCTGGCCTCCAGGGATATCTTTCTTATTGAATGATTACATAGCCTGAGTCTTTCACTGTTCCTGTTTTCAATCTGTAGCTGTCATTGTAAGATTGGGCAGAGAGAGAAAGGCATAAAGTAACAGCAGAATGTATATTAGGAGAAGCCCTACGAAACATGCTGTGTAGTATTCCTTTATTGTATGTAACTGGGGTCTAGGCACAGCTACAGTTTTAGAAAAACACTATTGATAGATACTATTGGAATAACTTAAATACTGCAACATAAGGCTTAGCTACATTTATTTAATTCATGTTATTAAACCTGAGACATGATTTCTTTTCATATGTAAAGTAGCAAGGCAAAGAATTGCCATGACAAAGTCTAGCAAGATTAATCTGCCATATTTTCCTTTATCCATTTACCTTCCTTGAGTATGAATTTATTTTTGAGAGGAAAAAGAAATGGTATACTGAAATTCATAAATCAGACTACAAAGATATTCAAAGAAAATGCTGGTCTAGTGAAATTTACCTGAGATTTGTCAAAGTGTCCCTGTTTTCTGACTTTCTTCTAAGTTTTGTCCAGCCATAAAATATGGATCAGATTGTCATACATCAGGATAACTGAAGTGCCTAAAATCAAACTGTGTCTTTTACATCAACTGATGTCTGATTCTATGTTATACCATTTTCATGATAAGACTGAATATAACAGGTTTCTACAACATAAAAAATCACTATGCAGCAGTTACTAATTACATAAGAAGTTTAACTTTGTAGCAAAATATAAGGTACACAGTGGTAAATAAAAAAGTTTCAGTAATTATTTAAAAAAAATACCTTGAATGTAAATTGCTCATTGAAAACAGGGTTAAGGGTCTTTCTGTGGACTTTTGTCTCATATTTCTTCTTTTTATCAGGCAGCAGGAAAACTTTCACATAGGGATCAGATGTACCACCCATATCTAATGCAGGCAGCTCAGCTGCTTGAATAATCCCAACCAGAAGCTGAAAAGACAGAAAAGCAGAAGAATGAAATTTCAAATAGATATTTATAAAAAAAACCAGAGAAATACACATGCAGACAATATTTCTGGTCTATGAAAAACTATTCCCCCCCTTCAGGGAAGGCAACACTATAGACTTTCGAAAACCAATTATGGCAGATGCAGACTGTAAAAAGGCTGTTTTTAAGCAGAAGAGAGGTTTTCAAAGGGCAGCTGATTACAGCTAAATACAGACTTCATCTTTTTAAAGACTGCAATCAAATAACTTTCAATTGCTCTCTCCTCTTGTGCATTATTTTTCTATGCTGGGCACCATGAATAGAAATCACATTATTAAACAATCAAGAATGTCTAAATTTGACTACAAAATTTGTATTCTACATCCCCAACATGTAACCTTCCCCCAACCGAATACGAAAAGGTGATATATCAAATCCTTAGGCAGAGCTTGATTGAAAACAAATAGATCTTGCAGTCTTCCTTATATTTAACTTCTCTTGCTATGTATTACAAATGGGTTTAGGTGGTATACTAAGGAGAGCGTTTTAAAAAAATACGTCATGAAAACTAACCTTTGGTAACTAAATCCCAATAACAATTCATAATCTCATTGCAAAACAGAAAAATGAGTTTCTTAAATATCTTACACACTTTTAAAAATAATACTAAAGCACATTTGAAACTTCTAAAAAGCCTTAGCAATTTTGTAAGTATTACAAATGAAGGCTTATGTTATATTATGCTGTTATGTTACTTTATCTAGACATCCCAGCCTGTTCTAGGCCTCATAAGCATAATGGAATTCAGAGAAAGAAAATACTTTTAATCTTGTTTTATAGATATAGAACTAAGGTAAACATTTAAGTGACTCTTCAAGGTCAATCTGGATACAAGATATTAAGAACTGGGAATGAAATCTGAGAATATTTTCTCCTGAATCAGTGCTTCAGTCACAGTATATTTGCTTCTCTCCTGGATGAATTGTTTAAAAGTGGAAACAGAAGCTCTAACAACTGGAATACAGAACAACATGGTCAATCTAGGAAAGAAGCTTCTTGCTTCTGAGAGATTCCTCAAAGGTGGAGTTATTTTTATTAGTTTTAAATTCACAGTATGGCTTGCATGCTTTCACACCTATAGGACTCTTAAGCTCCATGAAACATTTTCCTTTACCTGTAAGAAACACCTCTCCTTTTCTGTCTTTATTCTTATTCTAGATGCATAACAGTTCATAATACATGGCTGTGCTCAGAATCTACATAAAGTCCTTCACACCAAGGAGTGAAAAACAAGTCTACAAGTTTTAGTTAACAGAGTGGAAAAACAATCCAATTCCCTTTTAAAAATTCTCTCTCTAAAGCTGAGGTATTGCGCTCTGGAGAGTATATTGGTCATCTTGTCTTCATCCTTAACCCTGTGCAATATAGTAGCTAGATTTTTGGTCTGTAGTTTCATGTCACTGTGCTATACTAACCTAACTAAATCCTCTCTTCTACTCTTTTTATATCATCTATGCTCTGACAAATTCCAAGCTGCAATATAATTTAGAGCAGCAAAATAAAATAGGAATTCATAACTCAAATAATTTAATAACGTAATTAAATACTACATACTTTTACAAATTTGTTGCTCTTCCATCCTATTTCCCTTTGTAAAATGTAGTTCACAAAACCAACATTTCCTTTAATAAAATGTGCATAGAAAGTTTGTTTTCATATTCTAAGGAAACTGAAACCCATTTGTCAGAACAGATTTGCAGCTTTTCCTTTCTCTCTCTTTAGATCTTCTGCTTCTGAAGGGTCTAATGCTTCATACTGATTTCATACTGATTTCAAGAGGGATCAGTGTGACTCATCACGTGGCCAGGGAATTTGCTCTGGGAGTCAAAGAAAAACTCCTTTAACCACGGGTTCTTGAAAGGCTTCAGAATTATTTTTGTCTCTTGTATTGAAAAACAAACACTGGTAGTCAGAATATAGTTGAAAAGACCCATAAATAATATGTATTATGCCAGGTCATAGCTGTGCGTAAATACCCTGCTGCTGACACTGAAATTTTTCTTAATTTCTCTTATTTTTCTTTGTCATTCAACAAGTAAGTGTACTGTGTTCTCTGAATAGCATCAAATAAAGAATCTGAATGCGGAAATAAATCACAAGTACATGTGAAAGTCTGTTTAGATGAAGAACAGGAATTAACAGGGATTTAAGTTCCATAGTCATTACTTAGATAGGAATAATGATTTTTTGACTGAAGTTGTCAAAAATGAAATGCAAGATATATATTCTCAAGTTCACTGAAAGACACACAGTAGAAGTGAAGAAAGATGTGTTGGTCTACTTCGGTCCAAAGCCACGCACAGTGAGTCTTAATGTGAGGCTGAGAATTGGTATAACTCACAAAAGTGATCCCAACCACACAGCACAAAGGCAGGGAGGGGAATTAAGTATGAGGTAGTTCAAGAAGTGGGCAGATCTGTTAAGTAGGTTGATATTAGGTCTACATCACGGTACAGCGTCTCTTCCTTCTGAAGACTTGGGTATGTATGCCAAAGTTTGGTCTTACCAGCTTCAGAGTAGGGCACTGAAGGAGCATCAGTCCTTGACTGGAAAGATTTTTATTGTTTGACTTTCCAGGTTTTTTTGGGTACAGAGCTTTTTATTTGGACTATTGCTCCAACCTAAAATTTTCTTGCCTAGTAGGTGTACTTTCATGGAGAGCAACAGAACCTGATGCAGCTGGTTAATAAGGCAAAGGGCACTCTTGATGAAGTGAGAGAAAGCTTGAAAGAGTCCAGCACAGAGCCACAAAAATGATTGAGGGAGCAGAGCATCTCCCTTATGAGGAGCAGCTGAGGGAGCTGGGTCTCTTTAGCTTGGAGGAGACTGAGGGGTAACCTCATCAATGTTTATAAACTTGTAAAGGGCAAGTGTCAGGAGGAAGGAGCTAGGCTCTTCTCTCTGATGTCAAATGATAGGACAAGGGGAATGGGAGCAAGCTGGAGCATAGGAGGTTCCATGTGAACATGAGGAAAAACTTCTTTACTGCGAGGGTGACAGAGCACTGTACCAGGCTGCCCAAAGAGGTTGTGGAGTCTCCTTCTCTGGAGATATTCAAAACCCGCCTGGACGTGTTCCTGCGTGACCTGGTCTAGGTGATCCTGCTCTGGCAGGGGGGTTGGACTGGATGATATTTCAAGGTCCCTTCCAACTCCTAATATTCTGTGAAAGCTAATCCTAACAACCTTATCACCATCCTAAAAGACTCACAATGAATCAACTTACTTTCATGTCCCTTTTTTTTTTCCTCCCATCTTTTGTTTGCTTAGATTTTAAATACCTGAAGGCTCAAGCTATCTCTTACTGTCTGCATGCAGACTCCATAATATAATGTGGGTTGACATTGATTGGTGATGCCTTAATATAAGTTATTAATAACCATTAGATAAAACTGTGTCTTCAATTTTGATTAAAGTTGTAATATAAACTCCAAGTACATTGAATACCAATTTAGTAGTACCTCTGTCATGAATCTTCAGTCTTTCTTTCTCTCTTTACTCTGTGCAAACAGTAAGGATTTCAGAAATATCTACCGTAACTAAATGTATTACTTCATTCTCCCCTTGCACATACAAAATGAAATGTTACAGATTGGTTGTTTCAAACCTGATTGTTCTGGAAGTCATAATCCAAAGAATATTGGATTTTCCCTAGTTTCTCCACTTCTTTGGGTTCTTCTTTCTCTTCCCCATCAGTCAGTCCAGTCTCAGCATCATCATCCTTCAGAGCCTAGAATGAAGGAATGTAATATTCATAAATAAGACAAACTCTTAAGTACCAGTTGAAAAGAGACACTGTCCTCAAATCTATTTTAAAGCCATTAAAAGCAAGCATGACAGCAGAAATTCAAATATGCATTTTATGTATATATTTATACTATTTAAGTTGCTCAGGAAGATGTTATCAATCAGCAAGCAAGCAATGGAAGTAGGAACAAAGCTTCTTGGACTATTACAAGCAAAGATTGTTATAAAACCTGAAAGTAGAAACAAAATATCAACTCCATATCAAAAAATTCTTCTGGACTCACGTGGGCTCTTAAAGAGGCACAGGGAGGCAAACATGCTATTAAATAAGCAAAGTCACACATTCATTCAACTTAAGACTATCTTGGCAATGTCAAACCTGGTTGTGCATGCTGTGAATTGTTCGCAATTGGCAACCCATTTCTGTAGGATTACTATGATAAAGAGCATGTGCCGTGGATGAGTTCTTCCTATGATCATATGCCAAACATTTTTCATGTTTATTTAGAATGAATATGGAAGCAAAGTTTTCACCATGCCATTAGCAAATGCATGTTTCTCCTTTTCCCTCCCTCCCAAGACCAATTTCCTTTTTATTCATTCCTGCTATAAAGCTTGGCTGAACGAAATTGATTGAAACTTGATTTTAGTTTGCTTAGAAAGTAACACAAAAATAAAAAACTACAGAACTGCTTACAGCTTTGTCTATTGCATAAAACCGGCTATTTTTAAAGGACACAGTAGTTATTTTAGATTTTATACATAATTAGAATACTAAATGATGTAATAATTTTTTTTTGCTGTACCAGAAAGCAGAAGTTTTTGCACGGTGGAAAAGAGAAGTAATACAATTATTAAACCATATGAACCATAACTAACTATGTAGATTTTATTCCAGCAGATCTTATCTGAGTAGGAACTGAAAAATGGGCAAAAGTTATAAGTCAAATAGTGAAAAAGTGTGGAAAATGTGAAAATAAAGTTGAATGTGAAAACAAGCAATCAATACTGAGCATTCATCTGGAACTGTTATTTGCATGTTAGAGTAAACAGTATGCTTATCTATAAGAGTCCCATTTGGATGAAAGTTCATTCTATATGCAGCTTCTGCCTGCAGAAACAGATTTTTAAGTGCAAGAATAAGATTTGTTCTTTCTTTTTGCACTATGTGAGGTGGTCTGAAGAACCCTACAGTAACATATAAACAAGAGGTCGCAGCTGGAGCGCTCTATCCACAGAGATAGCAAGGCTGGAAAGTAGCTATACCCACACTTGATGGTGGTTGATGAAAAAAGAACGTGAAAGCATCCACATTCTCACTCAGCCATGAAGGCAGTGCAGGCCATACAACAGTTGCATGGGTGTGGTAGGAGGAAAGATTGATCTCCAAGGTAGAAAATGTTATTTTTCAGAAGCCAGACCTAAATTCAAAAGGTCAGACTCAAAACTGTATGGTATTAAGCAATTATTTCTCTACTTTTTGAAATAAGATAGAAATTCAGCTAGCATAGCTCAACTGAAATCAATGTACCAACATTGATTTATGCAAGCTGAGGAGCTGGGTTAGAGTTAAATATCTAAATGTTAGTGAATGATGAACTCTACTGGGAACACAAATTACACTGTATCTGAATGAGATTGGTGTGAAAGGTTGATAGTGGACGAGAATCACCTGTGATGTTGGAAAAGTAATACTTTCTGAACTAAATCATTTCTATTTAGAGGGGCTGAGCTGCCTGAAATTAAAAGTATTTTGAGTCATTTTAATCATCAAGCTGCTAGTGAGTTCCCTGGCTGCAGCACGACATTTTTGCTATTACAGCAACAAGTATGACACTTAATTAGTGACAAGTTCAAAGGCAAGAGGACAGTCTTGGAGCAAACCAGTCTGAGGCACAGCCCCTGCAGTACCATATGAGGGACTTTTAGGATATGGGGTGATGTGATTAGGCTAAAAACCTTGCTTTCATTGGTAATAAAAATAAGATTGAAGTTTTGTGATCAAGAAAAGAAACAAGATGTGACTCAATCCAACCAAAGGAACCACATTTATCTGAGCCTGAAGACAACAGGAAGCAATAACTCAGAGTGGGATGTTAACTCCGAGACCCACTGCTCTGAATCATCTCAGTATTACCCTAGCAGAGGACTCCATGATAGGAGAGTGATAAACAGCTCCAGTATATCACCGTTCCTGGGATAAGTACTGAACTTTCTGCCATTCCATCTACTTTTGACTGGAATTTTTTTTTAAGGAACTATCCTACAGCCATTCCTAAGGGATAAAAGGGGAAATGCAAAAAGAATCTTCTATGTTAATTTCCAGGTATGAGGAATTTGTAAATACTGCATGAAGGTGATAGTTACATATCCAAACTCTCTGTAGGAAAAAAAAGAAAAATACCCTTCTGCACAGCTGATCAATCCAAGAGATGCCAAAGCTGTGGGTAACTCATTGTGAAAAAGTTCTTGCTATGACTATGGAAAATACAATGCAAAGCTAATGTCCCTCTTGCAAGGAAGTTTTGAAGTGCAGGCAGAAAACATTGCATGGTTGGGAAACTCTTCTTCACAGGTTATGAGAGGCCTATTGGAAGGTGAAAACTATTTCCCAGGAGAGATGGAAAACATTGCCCGTTCCTCACATCAGCTGAGGACCTATATGATTCTTTTTGACCTATTATCAGAAACACTGAAGCACTAAGAGACACTAAGAATGACGGTGTTTGGATTTGGTCAAGGTCATGGCATTGGGGGAGGAAAGAAATGACAGATTATTATCTCTACAGCAGTTTGTACATAATAGTTTTTACCATCAAGAGAGGTATTTGCTTTCAAACCAGAGGCCAAACCTCCAAGAAGCAGCTGGGTCAAAGGAAGCACAGAAGTTTCTCATGTTTGATGCAGCTGCCGAGTTCCAAAGAGGAAGAAGAATTGGATTGCTTCAAAGTACATGAAGCACCCTGCAGGGATTTTCATTTTGTATTGAGATTCTTTGAAAGATCAATATTTAATGGAAAAGTACCGCAACCCTCAATTTATAGCACACTGTATCACACTATATTGGATTTTACTGTTGTATTGCTACAATCAATTAAAATAAGCAGCTATATTTTATTTGTTTTAGAAACAATAAAATATTTTTAATTATAAACCAGCTTTTTCCTCAAGCCTCTTCAATTGACACAACTGTGAATAGAAAACCTAGATTTAGATGCAGAGGAATATATGCCTTTTTCTTTTACTAACATTTCTTCTAATTCCATGACATTTTAAATGCCTTTTCTGTGAAATATGCAGCATAGAAATGCATTATTACATTGTGCTGGAGACCAGATTTATTTTTTCTAATTTGGGATGACTATGTATTTCATTCAAGTGGTTTCTTCCTTTCTGCATAACATAGGCAGAAACACATAACAATGAAACTTCTATTCTCTCTTACATTTGTATAAGTATCTGAAAAATGCAGACTTGTAACTAAGAAGGCGTAGGAATGTACAAAAAAAGGTGCTAATCCCATACAACCATTACAAGGAGTTACCTCCATATCTAACAAATCAGCAAGTGGGAAAAGTTATGTTGTGACCTTAACAGAGACACACAATACACAATGTATTTTTTTTCTTAGACCTTAGAATTTTTTAGCAACCTCTCATTTAATCCATATTTGAATGACCTCTCTAACTAGTTCTATCCAAGGGTGCAGACGTAACTGTACATAGGGCATTAGGATTTTCTTTTCTGTGCCATGTTTAGTTAATAGTTTTCAAGCTCATCTACTCTGTAGTGGTTCCTACAACAAACAGGGCTAAATTACAGCAATCTGGGATCCACAGTTCAATCTGCTGGTTGTTTCTTCACTTCTGTAACATAATTAAAAGTCGTTTTACAGTCTCCTCTTTTCTTCTGGGTTGTTAAAGAAAACGCTTCATTTTCATTCTTTTTGCAGTTACATCTTTTGCATTAAAAAAGGTTAGAAAACCCAAAACTGCTTGTAACTGCAGTTCTACAAACTCTACACCTTGCAGTTGGTTTCTGTATTTCTGGGCTTCCTCCCCCTGTCATTCCACTGGGTGGCAAAAGCCTCTCTGCAGTGACACTGATTCCTGACGCTGCGAACACCCCTTGCTTCCAGCTCAGTTCCACCAAAAGCCCTGCTCCGCATCACTGGGTTTACCCCACTACAATCCACCACAAGCCAGAAGAGAGATTCTGGGGATTAAAGCAGCTTTGTGGACACTTCCATTTAATCCCTCCCAGAACTATGTGTAGAAATCAAGAAGGTCTGCAAGAGATTTGGAACAGTTGGTCTGCTGGTTGCCTCCAGATTCCCCATGTGCAGAAGCTCCAGGAAAGTAAACTGATATGAGACTCGAGTACCAAAGCTACTGGGGGACTAAGTGTATTTCCTTATCTCCTGGATGGTGAGGCAGAGGCCACAACCATGTCTGAGTCACCAGGAGGATGCAAAGACCCATGAAGGTGTATTTTGCTCTTCGATTCTGGTCTCAGTTATCTTTAGGTCTCATCATTAATGCCTAGTTCACGTCATAAGCTATTTAAGACTGCAAGAAAAGTGTTGTATATAAAGAAACACTTTAATTAATACAGGTTTTAGAGTTCTTTCCATTCATGGGGTGGCCTATGACTTCACTTTTAAGGAGACAAGTTACCAGTAAGCAAGAAGAAGAGATGATAGGAAGGGAAACATAACACTGACTGTAGCCTGTAAGTTTATTTGCTGCACAGTGTGTGCTGCTGTCCTGAGTTCCATCCCCACCTGCCCCATCAATCATTTATTTTGTTCACACGGTGAAGGGGATATTTTTTTAACGTGTGAATGATGCCCAGTCCTCAGGCTTGTGCAATGCCTGCTGATCTGAATGGAGGAAAACAATATTATTTTGTACCGAGAATATTCTGTGCCATATCCAACAATTAATTTATCAGAAAGGCAATTTTTCCTCCACACCTAGGAAT